TCATTATAATTCAGCTCTGCTGTGAATTTGTACCTGTCGTTGAACCTGTCTGGGTTCCAGATTTCTCACATGAAACATAAGGAGGTTACATTAGCTCATTACAAGGATGCTTTACAATCCTAAAATTCTGTAAATTTTTTATGCTTGCAAAACATCCCATACGTGACCAGTGGAAGGAGTCAAGCAATATTCTTCCCCGGTCCTGGAGAGTTTCTGGTTCTGTCACCAAGCGTCAAATGATAGGGTCAAAGCAAAGAGAAGGATGGGGAAATTATCCTGTGAATCTGGGAAGTAACTATTCCAGATTAATGCCAAAAAGATGTCATTCCTTGAGAGGCATGGTAAAAGAACGATGACACAAGTAAACCAAAGCCCCACACACTATCGTGGAATCACACTAGAGCAAAGAAATATGTTGGAAATCAGTAAGTACAAACCCTCATTTTATAGATATAAGTTCCATCACACAACTAGACAAGATTTATTACCTGAGTTATTAAGATCCAATTTACCAGAAAGCTTAAAAATCATCCTCTCATGAGCACCACAAAAAGTTACAGAAAAGTAAAACTGTATAAAAGAGTGGTTAAGAATAGACTCTGGAATTAAATTGTTTCATTCAAATTCTAAAAACATCACTTAGTGACTTTGAGCCAATTACATAAACTCTGCGTGTCTCGGTTTCTTTCGTCTATCTGTCTCAGTTTTCTTCATCTATCAAATAGTGATGTTAATAATCATGCACAGTTCTGGTTTATAAGAAGAATTATAATAGTAGTCCATGTAAATTGTTTAGTACACTGTTTGATCCATAGGAATTAATAAGTATTAGCTAGAATTAAGATTAGACTGTATACTGAATACACTGGCTAAGTCTGCTGTAATTTTCATTTAACATTTAAATCAAATTTTGTAAACATTTTAATTATACTTCTTTCATTGGCAATCAGGTCTGGAATTTTTCCAGAATGATCTTTCAAAGATGATCAGTATAGAAGTTAACTATGATAAAGGTGCCCATTACCAAAAATGAATCCCAAAAATAATTTTGGGAAGTTTTCTAGGTATAAAGTTGTTTCCCACTGCAGTATGCTACAGCCAAAATATTTCCTTTTGAAGACCCTGCAAAAATGAATCATAAATTTCCTACAAGAAATATTGCATTCACTGTTCTCAAGATTGTTCTCCATCATTAACCAGTTGATGATTTGATTGTTGCCAGTATATGTTCTTGCTTTAACATCATCATATTTAACTGACAGCAATTAAAGCCATGCAGCACACTGTGTATGAAATCTAAAAAGGCCTTTATGACTGTTTGCCTCATCTTTACGGACCTTTAAACTTAATAGTTTTCATTGCAGTAAAATAAGTAATTTTCAAAAGTTCAAGGCCACCGTCAGTCTGTTCCGTTGATCAAAATTATGATGTCATCTAGACACTTACTTCCTGTGTCCTTGCTCTTCAAATTGTCCTTTAATTAATGATGGGGGGCAGAGTTAAATGATCCCCTGACATTAAACAAGGATATTAGTCAAAAAGAATTATCAGGTCCATTCAGGGAATACTAATGTTGCAGTTTTGCACTGGTTCAGTAGTTTTAAGATAATATATAGGTTCATTTAAAACTCGGAGTACAACAGCCCACTTCAGAGTAATCATCCCTTCCTCTCCTTCCTTTTCTGAAATGAGAGTCAAAGAATACAATCAGTAAGACTAGCTCAGGGGCACATTCTCCAACCTGCCTCTGTAACAACTTATTTTCCCAGAGGTCATTCTTTCTCCTTCTCTCCAACAATAAAATGTCCCCATCCTCTGCTAACTCCTGAGACTGCCATTAATCCCACTTTTACACACTAGCCCTCTCATTCCTACCAAACATTCTTTTCAGTATTCTTTCCTTCAAGTTCTCTATTCCCATTCTCACAGCAGCCGCCACCCACACACTCGAGCCATATTCCTCCTGTTCATTCCAGTGAACCAAATCTAATCCTTTGCCCAAATAATCCATCATTTTAACCAACAAGCCGAGAAAATCCAAGAAGATGTAGCTTCAGCAGTCTAACCAAAAATCCCTTTGCTAAAACAGGCATGAACATGTTCATTACCCACTGAAAAATACTTAAGAAGGGAAAAAGAGCGATTTAAAGTGAATTAATAGAAGTAACAATTTGAGGACTGAAAAAAATCACTGAGGAAAATAGCGCATTTCCCAATAAACACAAATCATCTCACTTTTCTAAGATCATTATTCTAAAACAATTTTAAAATTAGAACCAAAAATAAACTCAGCTCCTAATGGCCCTTAACAGCTGTAAAATTAATTCTGTGATTCCTTTCACAAAGCCACAGTGACAGCAATAAAAAAGTCAAAACCTGATAACTGGCATAACAGCTTCAGGATCAGCCTTTCCCACCCTCAGCATTAATGATATTTGGAGCAGATAACCCACTGGGTTTTTGTTTTGTTGGTTTTGGTACCAGGGATCAAATTCAGGACTATGCATTTGTGAGGCGGGCACAGCACCACTGAGCTAAATCCCCGATCCTAGATGACCCACTGATGTAGGAGACCATCCTGTACATTGTGGGCCATTCAGCTGCATCGTTGGTCTCCACCCCAGGAGCCAGTAGTACCCCTCATCCAGCCAGGACAACCAAAAGTGTCTTCAGACATTGCCAAATATCCTCTAGTGGGCAAAACTGTTCAAAGCTAGGAGCCATTCTCATAGATGCTAGGGAAACTGCTCACCCTAGATCTGAGGTCAATAAGCTATGGCCCATCAGGCAATAGCTATCAACAAAATTTTATTGAAATATGGCCACACTCATTCACTTATTTTCTATGGCTGCTTTGTCACAAGTAGGAAGCAGAGTGGGGGTAACAGCAACTGTGTGACTCACAAAACCAAAAATATGTATCATCTGGCTCTTTACATAGTTTAGCAAACTTGTCTTAGTTTACTGATTTTGACAATTTTCTTAGTAGTGACTTAAAAAAAAATGAAATCTTACATAGAATTTGAGTTAGACAAAGTCCAGACAGACCATTCAACTTGGGTAATTTAAGGAAGTAAAGTAAATACTGAATAATTTATGGGTGCAATTTCAAAGGCATTGAAAGTTATACAGAAATTGCAAGGGCTGAGAAAGCTGGGCACTATTACCATCTCTATGCCACAAAGGGGAAAAACCAAGACAATCCATGGGAAGGAGTCAGAAATGACACCTTCCCTTCAGGCTCACACTAGTGCTCTCGGGGGGCCAAATTCCAACAGAAACAGGAGAAACATTCCACTGAAGTGGCCACGTAGGTCAGCCTCCCAGGCCCCAGAGCAGAGTGGAAAAGGAGGGGGAGGGGGCTGGGTGTAAACAGAAGCCATTCCACAGGATCCTTCATGTACAGCAAAGCTTAGGGATGTTTAACGGAGAGGGTTCAAGAGCATCACATGTGGGTTTGCCCTTTCTCTGACTCACTGATCCAAGGCTCCAAGGAACATGGCTTGAAAGACCTGCCCTAAATCTGTTTCTCATTTTCTGACTTTGTCTCCTTTCTTAAACAGCTTTCCATGGTTGGGTATTTCGATGCTGTCTTTCTGACAAACTCCACTCCTTAAAGACTTCAACTCCAAGTCATCAGAAATGGCCCCCTCACCCGTGTCCTCTATCTTTGCTGCTCATGTCCTTAAACTGCCCAGAGATTTTTTAAAAATTTAAATACCCTGATTATTACATCTACCCTATGTCACAATAGCAGATAAATTGGGACCAAATTTTTGCTGAGCTTCCCATAACTTCCAGCCTTGGCTGAAACTGCTCTGAATATCCTTCTTCACAAATTCAATGGCCTTCTCCCAAACCTCATCATCCTGCACCTGTCTTTTGCAAAGAACTTTTCTGACTTTCCTTCCTTCTTGATTTATTTCTTCCAGCTTCCATAAACCCATATAGTCTATGATTTCCTCATAGTTCTTGGACCAGTTCTTCTTTATATCCTTTATCGATAGTTCTAACTGAAGAAGAGAAATTAATTATAAATGAGCCTGCCCAACAATACAATAAAAGCCTGTCTTGTAGAATGCCAATAACATCTCTTGGACAAAATGTATAGAGTTAAAAATCTTAACACATAAGAAGTTTCAATGCAACTGGTAAATTATAAAACTTCATTCCCTTCCAAAACCTTCTTACATAATCCATTTCTCTCAATGTTCCCATTTTCCTAGTCTCAAAACTCCAAAGTGAGAATAGAAGTTTGAGAACTGAAAGGACCTTCAAAATCAAACAGCTCAATGTTACCACTCAGGATGAGAACATTGACTCCCTTTCCTCATTTGCTTTAGATACAAATTCTAAATAATTCAGCCACTGCTTTACAGCCATTCTCTCTTGGCCTTGGCCAAGTTAGAGTTTTTGTGTTTTGCTTTTTGTTTGTTTGTTTTTGAGGAGGGAAGCAGGCTAGCAATTGATCTCAGGGATTCCTGCATGCTAAGTACATACTCAACTACTGAGCAAAATCCCTACCCCTATTTTTTTAAGATGATGTATTTCTGAATGACTTAGTTTTTATTCTTAATGGTGACTGCAGTTTAGACAGATGGATATACACAAAAGGAGGTATGGGCAAAGCAAACAGGATAAAGGGAAGGTATCAGAGCTGGCTGATAGAACTAGAAAAATATAATGAATATTTTTAAGGCACTAGGAAAACTTACCAAGTTAAAGGGTATGGATAATTTCAGGCACCAAAGGAATAGTTGCTTGATTAACTGACAATATAAGGAAATGCTTTCATTTGAGAGAATAGAAAATAGCCATTATTCTTGCAGTCAATTACTTATGGTAGGTTACATGGAATTTTGACACTAAAAGCAACAAGGATTTCAATTTGTGCAAATAGATCAATATAAAATGTATTTAATAGTGAGACATAATACAGTTGGAATAGTTAGAACAATTTAGTCCTGTAGTGACAAAAATCAGATAATTCAATCACTCACCATTAAAATGAGCATCTTCATTGACATATGCCACTGTTCTATTGTCTTGTTAAATACTATATATCATCTTCTTCTTCCATCCCTACCCCTATTGTTATAGTTTTGACTCTCTCCTCTGTGAGGTGCTCTCAGGTCTTTATCTGTAGGCTTTGTTCATTGTGATGTTTAATTTTACATGTCCACTTGACCGTGTGACACAGTATTTGGACTTTTGCTCAAATGTTATTCTGGGTGGGTCCGTGGAGGCGCTCCTGGATGATTACCATTTGAATCAGTCATCCAGGGAGGCAGATTGCTCTTCCTAATGTGAGTGGACCTCGTGCAGTCTGTTGAAGCCTGACCAGAATAAACATTCTGTGTAAGGAAGAATTTTGTCAGCTTGACTGCATTTAGGACCCTGTTTTTGTTTGTTGGTTTGGTTGGTTGGTTTTGGCCTTTGTTTTATTTTTGTTTTCTGCTTCAGGCTGGAGTTGAAGCATCAGCTCTTTCTGCTTCTTGGTCCAGCTGGCTCTCAGACTGGACCTACCCATCAGCTTTCCTACATGTCCAGCCTGCCAACTGCAGACCTGTCACACATCATAACCACATAAGTAAATCCCTTATACAGTGATGGGTAAATAGCCGATGAGTTGTTTCTTTGGAGACTTTTAAACTCTAGTCTAGTATTTTCAAAATGAATTTTTAAATCTCCAGAAGGCTGTAGTGCTGACAGCTCCAACCCATATGCAAAAGGGAATTTTGTTTTCACTCTATTCACCCACTGACTTGTTCACTTACTAAGGATTTTTGGAATACCTGCTATGTGTAGGGTATACAAAATTAGTTCCTCATCTCCCATAGGTCAGTGAGCAGTAGAGTTAAGAGACACGAAACAAAAAATAAAAGTCACAATTTACTAGAAATGTACAAGGCAAATGGTAATCAAAGTACATAAAGGTGTGTGAGGGAGAGTGGCTGATATTAGGAAGATTTCTTGGGGACTGAAGCTTGAAAGCAGACAAAGCCACCAAGTAGGCATGAAGGGAGAAATAAGCTTTCAGGCAAAGTCTGAAACGTGTACAAAGGAAGAACATGAACAGCTGTGGAAACAAAAGTAGTTATGTACTAAAGAACAAGAATTAATCATATCTAAATGTGGTTGTGCATGCCTATAATCCCAGCATCCCGGCAGGATGAGGCAGGAGGATAGCAGTTCAAACACAGCCCAGGAAATTTAGCAATTTATAAGACCCTGTCTCAAAAACAAACAAACAAAAGTAAAATTAGAAAGGACCGGGGATATAACTCAATGCATAGGCTCTGGATGCAGTCCTCAGTACCACAAAGGAAAATTTAATCATGATTTTCAAATATTATGAGAATAACTTATTGATGTATAAAAGTTTTTCATTTTTTTTCTCTGTGTACTTATGAACAAGAATTTTAGTGTAACTGTTCTTAATGTTTTCCTTTCCCCTCCCTTCTAAGGAAGTCTTGCCTTGCCATTCCAGCTTGTGTAATTATTAATAGAACAAAGGAAGGGAGGGAGGGAGGAAAAAAGGAAGGGTGAGAAAGATTAGGACTAAGAAGGATTCGGGGTTTTGGGTGGTGGTGGTGGTGGTGGTGGAGGTGCTTTTTCCTTGGGAGATAAAACTGTTGGAGAGAGTAATTACATTGGTAGGAACCATCTATTTAAAGGATGATTGTTGGGGGATTTTATGTCCTCCTTATAAAAGGAGAAAAATAGTTGTATTTTTTTTAATTTGCATTTAAGCCATAAGGACTAAACCATATGGGTTACCATTTAAAATTTACAGTAAATTTCCTAATACATCATTCCTTTCATCCATCTAAACACAAAGTATTGAAGCACTAGAATGGAATTTGATTGAAATTGTTCTGTTTCCCATTCTGATTGTAGGATCTAAGTGACAAAAATCTAAAACAGCAGCTCCAAACCCTGGGCATGATGATTAGTCAAGGGACAGGAATATGACTGAACTCAGGCCAATGCAATATAAGAAAATGTTGCCCAGAAGTGAAGCTTCTCCATTTCTCTTAAAGTTCTCCAGAGGAACAGAATCAATAGAAGCAATATGTGTATAATTGTGTGAGGGGCTTACAGAATCAGAGGTAGGAGAGTCCATTTGTGGCCATCTGCATGTTGGAAAACCAGCATCCAGCTGTTGCTCAGCCCAAGAAGATGGCAGCCATAGAACAGAAGGGTCAAGGATGCAGCACCAGGCCAAGGGGGAAAGGCTTGGAGGGTCACCCACTGCGTTCCTCTGTGTTGGAAAGCCTGAAGAAACTGGAGACCCATCAATGTCCTCTATGTCAAATATACATAGACACAAGCAGAACTGTGTTTTACTAATCTGCTAGATGTTTCTTAATTAATTTAAGGTCATGCACCTTGACTGAAGCGCATACCAGTTCTTCTCTTCAGGAGACCATTTCTCTTTTGTCTGTGCTTCATGCAGAGCCACCGATGACATTACTAAACCCTGTATCAAGCCAAGCCGAAGCCACCCTCTCAACCTGCTTTTCGCAGTTGCTCTAGTTTAACCTTCCCAAGGCATCCAGCTGCTGCTCAAAAATTAGTGACAGCACAAAGAAATCCAAACCATGCAATCTGATGTCAAAATTATTCTATTACCTGGCACCCACCCAAATGTCCCCCTATCTGCTACCTGCTCTTTCGGACTCCCGTTTATATACATCATGTTCTCTTTTGTAGCGAGAAAAAGGAGACTTTCATTTACGTTGTTTCCTATTTTTAAATAATGATGATCTTGACCAAACGATATGCTTTATAGCATTAATGCTAGCAACTTGCATGACAAAGAAATCAATAGGCACTTTTTTGGGGGGAGGGGGACTGAGATCGAACTCGGAACTTTGTGCTTGCCAGGCAGGCGGCGGAACCACTGAGCCAAATCCCTGGCCTTAGTGGGCATTTCTTTTAAATTCAAATAGTCATCAGTTTGCAACACTTCCAGGCAGTATCACCCTTATAGGAAACTGTACTACCAATTTCATACGGACAATGTACATGGGTCGCACAAATACATCTATGGAGTGCCTGCAACGTACTGAGCATTGTGCCACTTTCTGGATGATGAGAAGAAGAAACAGCTAATACTTTTAAGCATGCCCTTTGTGCCAGGCACTATTCTAAGCCTTATGCACGTATTAATTCATTTAATCTTCACAGCAACCTTTCGAAGCAGATGTCATTGGATTCTTCCATTTTACATCCGAGAATACCAGGGGACAGAAACTGAAAAAAAATACTCAAGCTAACACAGCTTGTACATGCCTGGAGTCAACTACTATACTAACTCCTGGTGTCTTTCATTTAGAGGAACAGACCCTCAGGCCCTAATATTTGCAACATTTATAAATTTGCTTGGCAAAAACCTTCAATTCTCTGTTTAGTAAACACAACTCAGTTGTTACAGCTAAACAATATGTCACTGTCATATTTTAGTAATCAGTCAAAATAGGTTAGATAGACATATCGATTTTTTCAGTTTGAATTTTTTTAATCCAATTGCCATTGCCAACCTCAAAGATGACCACTAACAGCCCTATCTCCTGGTATTCAAGCCCTGTGTGGTCTTCCTCCACATTTACCAGGTTAATCTGTGTGACCAATAGAATATGATAAAATAAGGGTATATCACATCTGAAATTTGGGTATAAAAGGATACATATTCTGCCTGGGACTACATCATATCCTTCCCCACAATCACTAACTCTGGAAAAATCGAGCTGCTGTGTCAAGGGGTCATTTGAAAAGCCTTTGCAAAAACCTACATGATAAGAACTGAGCTCTGAAGCTCTTAGCCAGAAGGACAGAGGCCTGGCAGCAATCACAGGTCAGTTAAGAAGTTCATCCTTCCCCAGCCAATCTATCAGATGGAATGAAAGCTCCAACTGTCAGCTGAATCCAGCCTCATGATTTGTGTCCCCATACCCTAAAATGAGGTCCTAGCTTCCACGACCTCAGAAGGTGGTTGTGTTTAACAGGATATCAGGGTTAAATAAGTTCCTATGGCTAGGTCCTCATTCTTGTCATTAAAGGTTGATAAAAGGTCTTCAAAGACATAGTTAAAAGTAGGTCTTGAAGGTGGGCCCAAATCTAATCTGACTCATGTCCTTAGAAGAGAAAGGTTTTACTCAGAAAGAGACATCAGGGGCTGGTGTACACAGAAGAATGGTCATGAGAAGAGGGAAGGTGGCCTTCTGAGGCCCAAGGAAGGAGGCCTCAGGGGAAGGCTTGATCGTGAACTTCTGGCCTCCGGAACTGTGAGAAAGCACACATCTGCTGTTTAAAGTGCCCCATCAATGGTATTCTGTTGCGCCAGCCCTAGCAAGCTAGTACAAGACCTCCACCCAGAACACCCAGTCAATCTGCTCCTCATTCCTGACCTACAGACACTATGAAGTAACAAATGCTCGTTGTTTTATGCTTGTTTAAATGCTAAATTTTGGAGCGATCTATTATGCAGCAATAGATAAATATTTCAGCACTCGGTGCGTAGATTCCTTGTCATATGGTGACCAGTCATGATTTGTCTTTCTAAACCCATGCTATGATTAAATACCATAATGGCAATTACGGCATATGTTAGAGATCATGTTTGTTTTGTTATTACTATCTGAATTGTCCAGAAAGTACTCATGAAGTTTATTTTATCCATCCACATCATTTCATTTTAACGTGAAGAAAATAGGAAAAGAATGGATTAAATCATAGACTTTGAAAATAATCTAAAATTTCACAAAATTTCACCTTAATATTTGTCACCTATTTTCCTTACCATTGGTATAGAAAACTGTCTTTTCATATATTGAAAGAAGCAGGTGGAAATACTTCTTCTTTATTTTCTTTATGAAACACAAGAGTTATCGAGGAATTGCTTTTACCCCGACTTGTAAACATATTTGTATACAGCAGAGGTTTTCAAAACTATCTTCCAGTTCTGATGATGAATACTGAACCAACATACTTCATTTATTGATGGACTCGGTATTATCCATTCACAGAAACAGCGCTTATTTGATGCTTACTATGTATCAGGCTCTGCT